TTACCGAAATCTTCTACCGGAGTAACAAAAGCCCATAAGCTTATATTAGGCCCATAAGCCTAAAGGACCTGAATTGATGATATCGGCCTGCTTAAGCCATGCATGCTCAACGTGCCGTGTATTTAAACTCCACACCAAAGACGAGAATCTCAGAAGTAACTGATTTGCCAGAAGGACTCAAAAGTCGGAATCAAGCTCCTTTAAAAAACAACGTTCAAAAAAATGATTTCCTGCTTAATGGAGAGATCAGTTCAAATCCGGACCCACTCACGACCACATTAGTACTCAACCTAAGCGATGAGGACGCACACGCGCAACTGTCTGTAATGAGGGTCCAAGTGCACAGGGATAGTCAAAAACAACCGCATGGACCTTTTTCAAGGACGACTCGGCAGGACTGGATAAATAACCTGGCATGGAGACAAACAATAAGTCCAGTGACAGTAACACTTGCTCTGCCAGCTACGACTAAATCTGGGAGCTTGTGTCACGGGGTTTGCTTCCTTTGTCAGGAAGTAGGACACCGAGCTGCTGAGAATACTCCGATCTAGTGTTTTGCTTGCTGAGAAAAGAGACATTTGGTTTATCACTTTTTAAAGATGACTTTACCCCTTGACAGTTGCCAAAATTTCAACTTCTCTGGATGTAATTTCCAAACATGAAAGGACTGTGAGGAACTAAAAAAGAGGATGGACAAACTTAAGACAGAGATAGAATTGAGGAATGCCAGACTAAAAGAAAGCCATAAGGGACACAGAACTTATGAAAGGATAGGATTAGCAGCTCAGGACAACGATAGAGACCATTTCAAGGTTTAAAATGCTGACCAAGGACCAGATGGATGCTATTAGAGAGACGTCATTGAATAATCACAGGACCACCATTCTGTGCAGAGACAACGAACGTACTCTTCCTTCTTTTCATTTTTTTATATAGGAGCTGGATCAGCAAGAGCATGCTGGTAAGAATCGGCTTTCAAGCAACCAGAGAGGTGATTAAGCCTAGGGCTTATAACAATGCAAAAATGGCCTTTATGCCCCAAAATGCTCTCGCTAATGCAACGTATATACGTGGAGCATTAGTTTAAAACTTCTCGAAATGGATTCCTATTTCGAGTGCTGTGTTTACACTGAGAGATAGAGGAGAGGACGCTAAAGGTCAACCAGCTGACCCTCAGAGACACAGCAGTGCCAGCGAGAAAGGACAAAAAAAATGCGAACGCGACTACCAGGATCCACAGTAGCTGCTATGTCAAGAGTGACTGCAGGGGAAGATACGTGGTAGCAGCAACTGCAGCAGACATTGCTCAAGCGGGAGATTGTGAGTCAGTCTTGAGGAAAGTCTCAAGCTGTACGCCTAAGTGTGAGCAGTGAAAGTTTCCATGATTTCTAAGGATTTTTGTGACGAGAGTTGAGAGAGAGAAAGAGAGAGAGAGAGAAAGTTGTCAAGAAGGTGCATAGAGTGTTGAAAGAAGAGAGGTTTGTGTGAGAGTCTAGCAACTGCTGGATTTTACCAAGACGACCAGGTCTCAAGGCAGATGAGTACGAAAGCAGCTCAGACCAGTAGAATAGAGTAGGAAAGAGTAAAGACAAAGAGCAGAACGATAGGACGAACGACCCGTTTTAAGACCCTGGATAACATCGCGCTGGGTTAGACTAACGGTTGTTTGACCAGAGAAAAAGAGAGTTTAGCGTACACAGTGAGAGAGATAGAGAAAGAGAAAAAAGTAGTGTGTGGATTGACGAGACGAGGTGTAAGAGAGACCGCAAGGTGCATGCTTGGGAGTTGCCGCTATTGTTTGTGCATTTTGCCGTGTGTGAGGGTAGATAGCAGAGTTGCGTGAGAAAGATAGCAGAGAAAGAGAGAGAGAGTACTTTTTTCGAGTAGAGAGATGATGATGATGAAACGAGTTTTTTAATGCCTAGATGTGATAAACCGAATGGCAACTAAAAATACATAGTAATTACAATTTGATGCATAATAATATATACGTACATTTAATAAACATTCGGTAAATGGCACGTGGCAATTGTACAAATGATGTAGTTCGCAATTTACTTACAGAATTAGCGAGTTAAGTTACTACCAAACTACAAAATGCAAAACAGAATTTTGATAATTTTAGCATAGTGTGTAACATACTATTAATAATTACAACGTAAATAATAATAATAATGGTAGTTAGCACAGTTCCGTTCAAAAATATGAAAAATAGGTAACGTAAAGTAGATATAGAAAACACCCGGGTAAAAACACAGTACGACTACCTATACTACGGGGCTCAATACAAGACACGATAATACAGAGGCGTCCCTCAGCCTCCAACAAGTAATTAACAACGCCCTTTTTTGAAAGATTTGATAGTACTCACCGATCTCACCCCTGCGAGAATCCCATAGTTTTAACGCACTCAGGCCAAAGGAGCTCGTACATAACTGTGCACGCAAAAGGAATCGAAAAACCAGTGGACTCATGCCTAGAGAGAGAGAGAAAGAGAGACAGAGAGAGAGAGGGAGGGAGAGAGAGAGAAAGAGAGAGAGTAAGAATGTAGAGAGCAAGAGCGAGCAGAGCAGAGAGAGAGAGACAGATAATATAGTAGAGTGTGTGAGATTATGGACGGAGTATAATTGTGTGTATGTTAGCGTGGGTCTATCATGAGAAGAAGCCCCTCCTGGTCCAAGACGAGCAGGACATGGTGAATGGGCGCTTGTGGATCGCATGGTGCGAGACGGAGTCGCTGCAGTGCAGTCTAGGGGATGATGTTGAGCGTTATATTGTGTAAAATGTAAGGAGATACTGTGCATTAGTGTTAAGAGATTAAATAAAGAAAGAGTTAGAGACATTTGTTGGTATAAGTTTAATAGTTCTCATTGTAGAACGGGAGAATTTCAGTACCAGTACCCCTTTCTCAGGAGAAAAGACCCAAGGTGTAAGAGGGACATAGGTGACATACATGATCAAGATTCGTTAACGCTGCGTCGGCACCTCTTTTTATTTTTAGGTTAAGAAACAGTATTATAACTAGACACCTGGAAAAAAGGATTAAATTTTAAAGTTACTTTTTAGATATACGTATATTTATAGTATAGGCTTTTTTTCATTTTTTGTTCGTTTTCTTGACTTGAGAGTTTGGCATAAACAACTTTAAGGTGGTACACAGTCTTTATACTATCCATTGGTGTCTCGTAAGACTGTCACATCTAAGAATATTATATACCAAGCCTTATATGTATCCGTATAGATATAAGCTTGCATGTTTACGTGCCGAAGTTAGCCTCTGTTTTGGGACTTTTAGTACGTCGTATTTTTTTTCTACTTGGCAACCTTGGACATTCGCTGGAATTGATTGGAAAAAATACTTTTAAGCAACCTGCTGCTAAATTCTAGAGTATGTGGCTTGATTTTTAGCCTAAGAAAGCTGAAACTTCTAGTGAAAAAATCAATATGCCTCTTAAATCCGATGCGGAAATTTAAAATTTTGAGAGTTTTTTTTTATTGGTTGACAGCATGCTTTGAAATCGCAACTGTACATCTGTTGAGTGATACTTTATCACAGATTTTAGTTTTTGTGCAATAGCTCGACTTTCAAAAAGGTGATGAGCCTCCTCAAGTCATTCCAAGGATTCGTTTTTTTTTTTTTTTTTTTCAAATGCAAGAGGAACTTTGATCTTTTCACATATTTAAGGAAAATAATATTTTTATACACGAAGTTAAGAATGACAAGACGCTGTCTTTAAAAAAATTTAACTAACCCATTTTTAAAACGTCTGCTCTGTACATTATTAAGAAAACATCTGTTATTAATTCACTTCTTCATAATCAAATATTGAAAATATCTATTAAAAAATAATAAAACATTATTTAAGATTTTTTTTGTCATTGTTCTCGTCTACTGGTATAGATTCTTTAATATTTCTAAAAATAAGTTCTAAAAAAAGGAGTAAAATTTTTTGAAGAAGTATTAAGATTTAATGAAAAATACTATCTTACTCTACAATTTAAAGAAGAACGGCGTTTGTCAGATATTTTATAAAATATTAGAATGGAAGTTAGCAGTGCTTCTTAAGCTCCTATGAAATTAGCATGTTTATAAAAATTCATTCTTACATCTCTTGAAAATTCATAAGAACCTTTGGGTTCCAGGAAACTAATTTTTTCGAGTGGTATAGGATTCAATTCAGTGAGAATTTCAAACCTCCTTGATATTCCAGACTTCAATTGAGCAGACTATTTAAAACGTCGAAAAAAATGCAACTAGCTGCGTTTGAAGTAATAAAGATAAATAGAGTGAATAGGGTGCATTAAGTACAAAATAACTATTGATTCAAATCAGAACAAGTATCGATAAATAATGATAACAGTTTGAAATTATCTGCTTCTAAATTGTTATAGTACTAATTTAACTACATTTGTTGCAAGTTATTATAAAACTTTATTTATACTCAATGATGTATGATATTTTTGCATCTTAATATTTTATTCAAGTGTAATAATGTGGTCACTATGAATAAAGTTTAATTAGGGATGAGTTTTTTTTAAGAGAATAAATGCAAAATACTGTTGCAATACTTGATCAGTTGTACTTTTTACCATTATACCTTCATTAAAAATGGAAGCTTGCTTTACCATGTTACTGTGTGGACACAAACTTCTACTACTACCAATTCATATACACGTATTCACACGTAACACAATGCGTGTGTGTATATTACCTAACGGCACTCAACCTCTCCCAATATAAAGTGTGAAACAATTACGACATACAGGCAGCTTGTTTTAAAGTATTTTGTTAAATAACTTCTACATGTCTGATATTTACGGTAAGATAAGGTAACTCTGAGTATGTTTTTATTGTATGTGATTAACGTTTTTTTAAATATCACAATAAGATAGTAAAAACTTTTTTCTCAACTGAGCAAAAAAATTAGAGAACTAAATTAATTGTAACAAATAGTCTTATTCAAACATGATGGTTTATTTAAAATCATCATTGAACTTACCTGATATTCTTGTGAATTTACGTTCTGCGTGTTACCAATAACGTAGGTGGCTTTACCAAACTTTCTCTTCACAATTTTAAAATGATTGATAAATATACACTTTCGCAGCATTTTAAATTAAATGACAATTTTTTTTATACTCAAAACATTTAAGAATAAAAAAATGTTCTTATAATGCCTTCTACTCAAATACGACCTCGTGATTTTATGTACAGCTTGTGTGTGGATCTATACGTTATCTTCATTTGATAACAAATCAAAGTAGTGACATCTCTCTTATAATAGAGATAACTCGCTTTAAAACTGTCTTCTTAGCTGGTCAATTTTTATATTTTTATTATCATTTGAGTCACCTGTAATTATCCTTAACTTCTTAGTTTCATATAAACATTCTGGAATGCTTTTCTTAGTATACGTTGTAATGAAAACGTAGCACTCTGACGCTCATTATTTATGTACAAACACTTGTCCTTAAATACATAAATGCATACACCTGGGGTCTGATTATGTTCTTCGATATACGCAATAGCTTTCGAGATTTACAGTCATAATATACCTTTGAACATCAAAAAGTAAACTTTTTGTTACGCTATCGTCATGAAGTGAGTGGTGTGACGGTAAATCTCAAACCGTATTGCGTATATCAAATCACGCAATTAGACCACTGTATTCATACTTGTACTGATTGACGTATGTTCGAACATTACCTGAAACTAATTTTCATACACATACCTATTCGTACCTATATCTAGATACCTTTACATACATATTACTTATTAAGAATTGTGTGAAACTTTTGACAGTAAATTAAATTAATTATTCGATTTTGTAAAACTGTAAATTACTTTCACAGTTGTCTGTTCAAATGGCTAGCAAAAAGTGTGTGTTAAAGAAACTTTTGCGCAAAGTGCATACACCTCAGTTTTCATCAAATGACTGGAACATATATTTTTAAAATCTTAGGAAACTTAAAACTTTTTGTTTTACATTAGGTACGACTATTTCTTGAAGAGGAAATAGACTACTTATACGTTTTTGTTTAACAACAGTCTGTATTAAAAATTCTATTCTAACAAAAGTTATTTGATGTTTCGTATATTTTTGTATCTTTAGTACTGTAAACAGTTCAAAAGTTGGTATAAAATGTTGATTTTATTTAATGTTTATTTTAGTGATAAAATTAATATTAATAATTTCTGCATTAAATTTAAATATCTATTTATTACTTTTATTTCTTACATACTCTGACAGAATGTTTCGAACATCAGATCACACAATAATTTTGCATACTGAGAAAAATGATGTTAAAAAATTTATTTCAACAATACTAAAAATTATGATATTTTTTAGGAAAGCTAAGACATACTTACTTAATGACGTATCCGCTGTTAACACATTGGTCTACAGGAAACCTTTTGGTTTTCAACTTTATTCTGTATCACATATAAAGAGCACACGTTCCTACATATTCTTTATGAAAGATTGCGCAGACATTATATATCGTGGTCTAGTGGTTGTAGAACCTGATATGAAGGCCGAAGGATGGAGGTTTAATTCCCTGTCACAGTTTTCTGTGGAATAAATTTATAACTTTTCCTAAAATAAGTATTTAATAAATGACTATGGCAGCATATTAGGTATGATAATTTATCAAATGTTCTGACAACCTTTAAAATTTAAGAAGGATTATATATTTTACATACTTATTTAGTATGCGTGTATGTGTACTATACCTTACAAGCAAACAAGAATGTAATATGGGACATTTTATCAAAAACCGTATCTCGTGTAAGAAGATATTGATTTAAAAGCTTCTTAAAATAATCAAGAAACATTTTTTGCTAAAGGCACAGTAGAACAAAGACCATGAAAAAGTATTGCTCTAGCTTAAAATACATAAAGGGGCTCAATTAGCGTTACGGGCCCGTGTGTCACTCGTAAGTTTGCAGTTTTGACGTTTGCAGTTTTTGGTGACGCTGTTTCAATAATATCCATGTTTCAATAACATTTTAAGATTAGAAAATCATAAAAATCAAGATCTAACAACATTTTTTCTCTGTGCAGACTTTGAATACATATTACAACCAATACATAACGGGTAGATAGCCATGCAGCATCATAAAAATTTGAGTGTGAGATTTTTTATGTAAAGTGCAATTTCGATAACGCTTAATCATGATAAATGTGTTATAGACAAGACAATGAGAATGTTAGAGATTCGGCCACATGGTGTTAAAAAAAAATGCATAATTTTTCCTTGGAGCTGCAAAGCATATATAACAATCCGGGGCCTATGAAATCTCTTACTTAACAAGAAGATTTCAATTGTTTCGATACCGACAGGTGTTGGATATGTGAAAAAGCAACTAAGAATATTAACAAAATTTATGACCACTGTCATTTAACTAGAAAGTCAGAAGTAGACATTTACCTTATTTAAAACATTTCTTTCTCATAGATGAGTTCTTATTTTCATTATTTAGATATCGAGGACCTGCACATAGTAAATGCAATATCAAGTACCCAGACTCACGATTCATGCCCATAGTTTTTCATAATCTAAGTAATTATAATGCACTTTTTTTTATAAACAACTTGTTACTTGTTTTCTTAGACGAGTACAAGTAGTTTTCCAAAGGAAAGAAAAGCATATTTCTTTCACAAATTATTTTGAAAAGACGAGCGTAACCTTACGCTTCATTGACTCGTCTCAATTTTTACCATCAACTCTAGATAAATTCACATCCTACTTGGAGAAGTAAAATAGTTGAGATTATGTTTTCAGCCAAGATAATGCTTACTCATCAGACCAAATTAATATGTTCAAAACGGAAGGATTGTTTTCATACGATAATGTGCCGTAGTATGAAAAACTAAGAGAAACTGAGCTTCCTTCTCGAAAGTATTTTTACAGTATAGATTATGAGAGACACTTATAAGTTATGCGGATTATATACTCCCTGAAACTATATAAAAAAAATTTGATATTTAAAACCTTGGCGAATACTCAGACTTATATCTCAAAACTGATGTGCTTCTATGAATGAAAGTTTTTGAAAACTTTAGGAATAATTGTTAAAAAATATATAAATCAAGTCCGGTGCACTGTTTTACCACACCAGGATTGACTTGAGATGCTATGTTAAAAAAAAAAACAAACGTTAGTTGTTACATACTCAAGTACATCTAATATGACTTACGTACAAATTAGGAATAAATAATTTTGTTTTCTTTTTAAATTTCACTGGAACTTATCACCAATATTAATGTTTTATTATGTGAAACATTTTATGGCTGGCGGTGAGCAGCCCTGTAAGGGGAAATATGCAACGAAAAGTCTGGTCCACTCCTCAGTTGCTGTTCACTCTACCACTGAGATTTGTTCTCTCTCCTTCTCTCTACGTATATATGGGACATTCCACGTCAACGCAAGCGCTCAAAAAATAGATTTTGCTTTTATCCAGCGCAATCGATAGTACTCATCGAGAAAACAATCCCCTAATTTTTTCAGATTTTTTGACCCACCTCATAACCGTCAGTGACGGTCACAAAATCGGAATTTTTCACTCTCAACCGAAAATCATTATTTTTTCTCTGGAAAATTGAAAAAAAAATGTAAAATATAGGGGTGGTTTTCACCGTATTCTTTCGCGTAGATAAGGATAAAAATATTTAAAAAATGTTTGGGGGTGGCTTACACCTCTTAAATTGCCATTTTCAAGTTTAAAATCAAAATTTCGAAAAGTGTGCCATGATTTTTTTTTATTCTTTATTTTTCATTTTTCAACTTTTTCGATTCCCTTTCAACTCCTCAAAGTCGCATAATGGGCGTCACCCGTTAACTTGCCCAAAACGAAGGTTGAGTGCAAGACTCCATGAATTTATCATTATATCTTGTTGCATAACACAAAAATAATCTAGTTTGGTATGTATTCCTACGTTTTTGAGGTCGCTGATTACGAATCAAGAGTTAAATTTTCAAAAAACAAAAGGGCGGATCCAATATGGCGGCCAATTTTTGTAAAATTCAAAAATTTTCGAATTCTAAAAATTCTACTGTAATCTAAATCAAATTCTACGTAAAGAATGTATCATGTATATTTTTTATTAAAGTCGCCATTACAGAGAAAAAAATTCATTCAATTTTCTTT